CCTTTCTGACGGAGTGGTACTGGTTTATCAACTTCAGAAGGGAGAAGGGCGACTGTCCCGGCCGGAAGAGCCGGATACCAGGAAAGGAAATCTCGATTCTGACTCCTACCTGCTTTACCGATTGATCAACCCTGGTCTAGGGGACTTACAGGTTTATGTCCGACCCTGCAGATACAATTAATGGTACCCAAACTACGTGCCCAACCCATCGCGTTTTGCCTCCCCGCTCTCCACGATAAGATATTTGACACTGGCATATTCTTATTTATATATTGCGGATGTGTCTGCGGAACGAATCTTTGACATCCTTCTTTTTCAGTAACAAACAGCTGACGTTCCTCTATTTTCTTCACATAAAATCTGTCCAAAAGCTAATTCCATGTTTTGCCTTGTAAGATAGAACCAAGCCTTAGTCAAGTGACTTTCAGTTACGTAAAATTTCAGTATTATTTTCTGTATTGTTTACGTTAACCATTATTCTAGCCTTCTTCATGACACCCGATCGTGTATGTACTATTTTTGACTTTGATTTTTAGTCCAACTTTGCTTTGCTACCATCTTTGTCGATTTCTTTCAGCATCAGTTTTTCACAATCAGATTTACGTATTGACGAAATACTTTGTATTCATACACTTTTACACGCGGTAGAATTTCCTCAAGCGACTCTTCTTTCCTTTTTACATTCTCTTCCTGTATTCGAATGGATTTCAATGGGCAGTGGATTACCGCTTTCCGAGGGTCTTTGTTCATCCTCTCCACTCTGTCCGTCTTAAGACTATTTCCTGGTACGCCATTGTGAACCTCGGACGTCGTTGTGCTTTTCCATAAAGTTTATTGTATAAACCCAGTATCTGTGAGTAACGGAAGCAATTTTGAGTTTCGACGATACATTAGATATTGTCAGGTTCATTCGTGACTGTTTTTCTTTTTATTTCCTTCTTAGCAAATACAACCTCTCTCATCTTGTAATCACCGTCTCTCGTGTATTTCGCTTACTACTAATCCTTCAAAATGCCATTTCTGGAATTTTGCGAAAGTCAAATGCAGCTTTGGAATAATGCGTCGTTGACTTCAATAACTTTCTGATCAAGTGTTTGCGCACAACATAGTGCAGGACGGAGAAGTGTTGATTGAGTAGACCTGAACAGAGAATTGAAATTAAGAATATGTGATCTGAGCCTAAGCCTTAATTTCATGTTTTTATTGCTCATAGATACTGAGTTCATTCTATAGAGTTTGTGAAACGACGTTATTCAACTTGATCGACATAACTACGCAATACTAGATGGTTTCCTTCTGTTGCTGAGAAATGGTGTTCATCTAGAAACAATGAAATAATAAAATTTTACTCCATCTTTGACGATCCCAAGTTCGGATGAGCAAGGAGGAAGGTTGGATGCCGTAGCGAAGACTCTGTAAAACTTAGCCGCATGCCCTCATCGAAGATCATACCGGCTCCGTCGTTGCCTGGGCTACATATTCCCACACAGGCTGTTGAGGCAGACTGGGAAAAGCAGGCAATCAGGACCTGCTCATCGCCTTCTAGCAGCCGAATCCTAGCAGCACAACAACGGCTGACGAAATTCGACGAAACGACGACCAAAATACCATTCATCAACGGAACCGTTGCCCGTTCTGAGCGGAGGAGGAAGGCAGCGCGATGGCATTATAACATGTCAGATAAGGCTCCACGTCGGCAACCGACAGTGGAGGCTTAAAGATGGAAATTGCGCACAATATCCTCACTCGGAAGAAAAGTGCAGGAGCAGGTTGATGAGACGCGCAGGGTACCAAATCGACGTAAGAGGATTCTTTTCAGCGAAGCGCCAGGTTCTGAAATTCTGAACCACAGCGAGTGGAGGAAATTCTACTCAGATTTCGGCACCACAAAGCGCGTTCAGGCCGGTGAAGGTTTTCTAGTAGGTATCAACGTGGCTAATAGAATCGTTGAATGGAAGCTTGTCAACGGAAGAGTGACAATGACAGTCCTTCGACTGTAGCTATATTAGGAGCGTTGATCTTCTTACAAGTTTATGGGCCCAACTTTGAGGGAGAAAATCAGTCTTTCCTTGAGAAAGTGGAGGGTGCTCTGTACGAAGTGCCAAATACGGAGTCTCTCATGGACGATATTAATGCGCATGTCTGAGTAAACGCTGAAAAGTGGAAAGGTGTGATTGGAAAGAACGGCCGTAGGGACCTCAACAATAACGGCATGAAGTTGTTGCTGTTTGCGCAAACAATGCACTTTACATTATGATCACCTTCTTCCATCATCGAAGAGTACATCAGCATACCTGGTACAGGGAAGCTTGTGCACAGAAGTCGATGATCGATTTGATAATCGTATTGTCTGACCTAAGGCGTTCAGTAATGGATGTTCACGTTAACAGAGGCGCAGAGCTATCAACCGATCACCACTTTGTTGTTGACACCCTAGCTGTGAGAAATGGAGTATCATACGAAGATCTGGTGCCAGAAGCAACCAGAAAATCAAACGTGAAACTTCATCTTCCTCGGATACGAGGGCGAAACTTACAAACCGCACAACGGTTTGAAGAGGTCCCGATGATGACCGATGATATGGAAACCGAATGGACGATCTTTAAGAGCGGCATTCCCGAGGCTGACATCGAATGCTGCGGTTTCACACGGGTTGGCCCGCCACTTGGAGGTTAGAAACGAACTTCCTTTTGGAAACGAGAGGTACAGCTGGCAGTTAAAAAGAAGGCAGCATTCAAAAAATGGCTTGAAAACAAAGAGCCTTCTACTTGCATACGATATGCAGAAGTGCGCGAAGCGGCAGCGAAAGCAGTAACAAACTAAGAATTGTGAGAGATCGTCTGCTCGCTCTGAGGTGAAAAGAAGGTATGTCTAAAAGTCTTGAGGGTCAAGTCTGGACTCTATCATGGACCGAGGTTGAGGACATCCTTCGGCGCAGCAGTCTATGGGTATGTTTGCGATACATATAGGATGGGTGGCGGTTACTACGCGTCATCAATGACTATATGTTTATGGCAGGTGGTGCATCATAGTAAATGGCGTTGAGTCGTAACCAGTGTTCGCACTGGTCACCGTCAAGGCTTCGCTCTGTCGCGTCTCCTGTTTGTGTTGCACATGGATGGAATTGTCAGGCGCGGCCAGTGAGAGGTTGCTGTTTACAGTACAAACGAAACAGTTGTTGTTTTGTTGGCATCTTCTGAAAATGACCTACAACGCTCTCTGGAAAGGTTCGCATCGAAGTGCGACGTGGCCGAAATGCACGTCAAGTTATCTAAATCGAAAAGTCTGATGCTTTCTCGTTTTTCTGCCCGTTGCTTTCTTCGAATAAACGGAGAAACAGTGGAGCACCCGGACAAGTTC